AACATACAAACAAAGCAAACATGGCTCAGTGTCAGCCATCGGTGAAGGGTTGTGATGTGTTCATTGTTGTATTCTTTCATCTTTTCTATGGATTTGAAAGTTCTCAAAATAAAAAGTGCATCAAAGGAGTGGAGGAGAGTCTGTGGCCATTGTCTGGCTTAGAAAGACTCAGACTTCTGTTCCCGGCCTCTCCCGGGGGAGCCGCCTGAAGACTTCTGGGCATCTGTTGTCTGCAGTTTGTCGATAAGGAGGAAGCAGCTGAGTAACGGTGCTCGGTGGGGGCAGCGCTGGGGACAAGGGGCCGCCCCGCTCACAATCGTGGGAGGAGGGGAGGAAATGTCTGCTAGGCACGTGCAACACCAGGAAACTCATAAACTCTTTTCTGGCTGCGAAATGTATTGTGCTGGGAGGAGTCGCTAAGCTGGGCGTGGCCTGGCCAGCAGTCAAGAGCAGGGGCTCCGAAGTCCGCTTCTGGGCGTAGAAGCCGAGTTCTCCCATCAGCTTTTTGTCTGAGCCTCTGGAGATTGTACAGGAACCTGCCTGGAAGGTTCCTGTGAGGATCCAGTGTGTGGCCAGCACGAAGCACAGGCCGTTCCGCGCGGGGGGCACTTGTGAAGCTCCTTCCATTCTGCGAGACCATTTCATCTTCCATGGGCATATTCCCAGAACAGAAATAAACAGCCTGTGGAGTTTCATGCTGTTAGGTCCAGAGCAAACTCTTGAGGATTCAGACCCAGCTCTGCTTGGCTCCAGCCTGCAGTGTGGTGGGTCCCCCAGGAGGCAGAGGGAGCAGGTGAAGTCAGATTCCCCAGTAATCCGTGGGGCCTTCCATTGGAGGATAATCCTCTTGGGCCTGGTAGCAGAGCTCTGAAAAGCTTGAAAAGCGGGGAGGGGAGGAGGAAACTAATCTGATTGAGCGCATCTGCGGCTGCAGTAGACTGCAGGTGTGCGAGGGTCTTAGCGCCACTCCCTGTACGGGGCACTTTCCGCTCGCCACCTTCCGCTCCGTGGAGGAAGAGAGCTATTGAGTGCGTGTGACCAAGGTTGGCTCAGTTCAGCACGATGTTCAGGGAAACCTGGACAAGTTTGCAAAGATAAAATAAACTTTTATTCCTTTTTAAATTGTACGAAGAATACATGATCACAGGAGAAAAAAGTAGGGAATATAAGATCATCAGAGATCATCAGAGAAAATTTCAAATGGCCTAAAATTCCTCTGTCCAGAGAAAACCATTCATTCATTCAGTGAATATTCATTGGGCACTTACTGTGTGCCAGGCACTGCCCTGGGAACAGGTGGCACAACAGCAAATGCATTGGCCCCAGTTCCTGCCCTCACGGGGCTTAGAGTCAGGTGCTGGTCGTTGATATTAATACTTGGTATTAAGCAAGTAATCCGAATACGAAAAGTGCCTCGAGGATGTCTGGGGGTCTCTGGGCTCTGGAGGACACCGATGGTGGGGGAGCAGAGTTCCACGTGGCTGGACGCTGTGCTTGGAGAGGGAGTGTGGGGTGCGGGGCTGCAGAGGCCAGCAGGGCCCGGTCAGCCAGGCCTCACTCCTGGGATTTCCAGCCATATAAGAGGCTCTTCCCCTTTGAGCAGCTTTGACCTTGCGTTGGCCTGCGTTGCCTGTGTGTGCAAGACAGGAGAAGGTGTGTGCTTCAGAGGTGGAGGGGCCGGGCTCTGGGATGGCATGGAGCATGGGGGTGCTGTGGACTGTGTAGGACGGGGCTGGCAGCATCTCTGCTCTTCACCATGCTGTATGGACACGTACATGCGCTGGACTCCTCCCCATGAGAGACCAGAGCTCACGTCATGCCGTCTTTACCCACAGAGTGGGCTGTTGCCAGGCACACTGAGACCCTGCCCACTCAGACTCCGGGTTTCATCTTGCCGCAGTGTCTTTCGAGGCCTCACTCAGGAGCGCGCTGTATCCACTGTGGAGCAGCCTACACTGGTTCCTTCCTTATCTCCCCTGAGCAGCGTGCGAGGCTGGTGGGAACTGGGTCAGAGGCACTTGCAGTTGTGAGCAGGTGTGGTGCATGCTTTGTTTGTTGATCCCTGCAGCGGCGCTGACACGTGCTTTGAGGTCAGCCAGGCCACCCTGCTGCCTCTGCTGTGACTAGCTCGGCAGTAACTCCTTACCCTGCGGAGCTGGGCTTAGGATCACAGGTGACCAGACCAAGGCCGGGGGCTCTCACCACCGGATGTGGGAGCTGTACAGTATTCAGGGACTGAGGCTGGGGAAAGCTTCCAAGAGGCAGGGACTCCGAAGATAAAGGACATAAAAAGATGGCCAAGTGAAGAGGGGGTGAGAAAGGGTGTCCCAGGCAGGGGCTGCATACACCAGGGCTTCTAGCAAGGCCTGCCAGTGATGGAGTCCACGGCCAGGCCGTGAGCAGCATTGCGGCTGGAGAGGCCCCGTGCCGCAGAGCCTCACAGTGGAGGCCGTCGTGTACCCCAGCCCAGCCCTTGACCCTCAGTGCATGAGGAGCCCTTTGTCCCCTAAGAGCAATCCAGAGCTGGTAACTGCTGGGGGTGACGTGCAAACACCTCTGTTCCTTGCCCCTGGGGTGGGATAACCCAAAGGCTGTCTTTTACACCATTTCTCGGAATTCCTTGGTAAGATTTAGCTCCAGTTGTCCACAGCGGTGACTTGCTAATGTGCCTTTTTGGGCTGTCTTCCCTTTCCTGTTTCCCCCCTACCTACTGATCTTTCCCGGACTCACCTTCCAAGCAAACTATTTCAGAGGAACCCAAACTAAGACTCCATTTTTCAGAGTCTGAACTCAATACCAAGAATGGGGGAGAGCCACCAAGGGGCTTTTCCACATCTGGAGGGACAGGGTCAGGTTTGCAAGATCAATTCTGAGGTTGGGTTGGTGAGGGCCAGACGGAGGGGCACCGGGGCACCTTATCCCCAGGCCCTGAGTGCCTTTGCTGACTGCTGTCGCCTGCCTTCTGCGTTCCAGATGCCAGTCTGAGCATTGGGTGTGCCTTTTCTCCTTGAATCTAACAAAAGCCTCATGGAGTATAGGTTGCACTTTACAGATGAGGAAGCTGAGGCATAGAGAAGTTGAGACACCTGGCCGTGGTCACACAGCTGGCAGTGATGGCTTGGGGATTCAAGCCCAGGTTTGACAGATGCGCGATGTGTGCTCTTACCCCTCGCAGCCCAGCCCTTCTGCCTTCTGTCCTCTCTGCCGGCACTGTCCAGGCACCATAAGGCGGGCCTTTAGCTCCCTGGGTGCAGGTGAGTGTCTTCCAGTAACCTCTGCTTCCCCTTCGCCCCACACAGGCAAGTTCGAGGATAGGGAAGACCGCGTGCCCAAGCTGGAGCAGATCAACAGCACGAGGATCCTCAGCAGCCAGAATGTCACCCTCACCAAGAAGGAGCTGCTGAGCACGGAGCTGCTGCTGCTGGAGGCCTTCAGCTGGAACCTCTGCCTGCCCACGCCCGCCCACTTCCTGGACTACTACCTCTTGGCCTCCGTCAGCCAGAAGGACCACCACTGCCACGCCTGGCCCACCACCTGCCCCCGCAAGACCAAAGAGTGCCTCAAGGAGTACGCCCACTACTTCCTGGAGGTCACCCTACAAGGTGATGACCTTTCACCCCTTCCCCACCAGCACAGCGGCTAGGGTCAGGTGGCTCTGAGGGGCACATCTGTCCTGGGGAGCGGGGGGGGCGGGGGGGGCGGATCTTCTTGTTGACTGGGCTTGTGCACCCAGACCACTCTTACTTTGCAAGGGATGGGCAAACAAGAGACAAGGATGAACCCGGTGTGCTACCAGTGTCATGTAAAATTGCAAGAGCAGCTTACATGCAGGGAGCTGGTACCCTGCAGACTCACAGACCACCTGGGCATTTTTCTTGTGGTCAACTGAACACTGCAGATGATTTCAATAGTACAGATTCGCAGGTAGATCAGTCCTGAAGACGTGTCATCATACAGGTAGGATGAGGGGAGGGAACTGTGTTTCCATCCGTTTTAGCAATAAAAATTACCCTATTTGGGGACTCGTACTCAAAACTCACTCTTCCCAGTGTCTTAAAATTTAGGCGTTAGGTAAAATACTGTGTCAGAAATACTGCTGATACGACCCCCTGGTAACCTACCACAAGCCACAGCAGTCACGAGCGTCAGCATCAGTGGCTGCGATACCAAGCATTAGCCGCGCACGTGCCGCACACCGGGAGCTTGCTTGAGTGCTTTGCATACCTTATCTCATCTGACCCTCACAGTGACCCCGCAAAAAAATCATTTTTATTATTCCCATTTGACAAATGAGGGAAGTTGGTGCTTAAGATGTGGGTCACTTACCCAAGGCCATTGCTAGGATTTGGACCTGGGGAGGATCTGACTCTGTGACTATTCCTGGAACCCTAATACCAGCCTGACTGATACCTTAAAAGGCAGAAGTCCGAGTAATTGAAAATCATGAACAACTCAGGACAAAATAATAATGCATTGAAAACCAAGTGGCATTCATGAAAACTGCAGGAATTTCAACTGTTTGCCTTTGCACATAAATGGTACCTACTTTGCCACATGGCCAAATGTCTTAGTAGGACATTAACATCCTGAGTAAAGGGCCAGTTTCAGTTATGAACATCAAGCTCTTACAGCCTTTCATTCAACAGATTTTCATCGCGTGCTACCGTGGGCCAGGCATTGTTATCATCAATAAGTAGCCTTTAGTCATACACCAGAAGGGAAGCCTTTGAAATGGTGTGTCATTCACCCCTAACAGCCAAAGAAAGGACAAACGTTTTGCAGTTTTGTTTGTAGAACATGAACAAACCCCTTGCAACCCTCTGGGAGCTGTGTGCAGTATTTTGAAAGTCACCACTCTAGGCTGACCTCAGAAATCCCAGACTAAGAGGCAAGGTGTTTAAGGTTCAAAAATGAAACTTCACATTTTCTCATTTTTCAGCCTATGTGTAGGGCAGTCGTTAACAGCGTTTGAACCAATTCATTCGTCCACCGGTCCTCAGGGTGGGCATGGGACTGCAAGGAGGGGCTTTTTGCTGCTGACCCCCTGTGTCATTCTCTCTTAGATCATATATTCTACAAATTCCAGCCTTCTGTGGTGGCTGCAGCCTGCGTCGGGGCCTCCAGGATTTGCCTACAGCTTTCTCCCTACTGGACCAGAGACCTGCAGAGGATCTCAAACTACTCCCTGGAACATCTCAGCAC